CCACAACTGAGCTGCCAACTTCCCCCACCGCCACAGTTTGCTGGCACCTCCTCTTCACCTTTCAACCAACATGAGCAAGGCTTTGGCACAGCCCCTTCCTGCCAGCCTTTCCCAAAGAACACCCAGGCCTTGCAGGAAGGCCAATCCCTCCTGGTGAGAAGGACCAAGACCAAGGCTCACCCTGAGAAGCCCTCACTTTGGCTGCTGACATGAATCCCCCGCCTCCCCTGCCCAAGCTCTGGCATAGTCTCTTGTTTCTGGTCCCTCCGTACTCATCATTTTGAAACCAACACATCTTGTTCCACGACCAGTACAGCACAAGAGGACTAAAACTCACCATGGCCAGGAGAACAAGGGCAATAGCAGAAGCTGCACAAGCTCCCCTGCTTCTTCTGGCCCTGAGCACAGGCTGCCATCAGCTGAATTGTCTTCTTTGTTAAGCCCAGGATATGTTTGCACATCAAAGAACACCCACTTGGACACATGCCCCCTCTGTTCTCATGGCCAGGGACCCAGTTTCACACTAAGCAAAGGCCTTCACAGAGCTGCTAAGACCTGTGAAGTAAGAAGCCATGGGTGAGGAACAGAGGCCATGAAGGGTAAGGGCCTAGTGAGAACCTGCCACCTAGACTGAGACTGATAAGAAGGGGGCCCCCAGATTTCATAGAATCATAGAAGTAGGGTCGAAAGGGACCTTGTAGATCTTCAAGTCCAACCCCCTGCCTGGGCAGGAAGAAAACTGGGCTCAAATAACCCCAGCCAGGTAGGCATCAAGCCGCTTCTTAAAGACCTCCAGGGTAGGAGCCAGCACCACTTCCCTTGGAAGTTGGTTTCAGATCCTAGCCACCCTAACTGTGAAGTAGTTCCTACGGCTGTCTAATCTAAACCTACTCTCCAACAACTTGTGGCCGTTATTCCTTGTTATCCCGGGGGGTGCTAGGGGAAACAAGGTCTCCCCCAAACCCTTCTGCTCCCCCCTAGTGAGTTTATAGACGGCCACCAGCTCCCCCCTCAGCTTTCTCTTGTGAAGGCTGAACAGGTTCAGGTCCCGTAGCCTCTCATTGTAGGGTCTGCCCTGCTGTCCCCGGATCATGCGGGTGGCCCTCCTCTGGACCCTCTCAATGTTGTCCACATCCCTCTTGAAGTGGGGCGCCCAGAACTGGACACAGCACTCTAGCTGTGGCCTGACCAGTGTCGTGTAGAGGGGGAGGATCACCTCCTTGTACCTACTTGAGATGCCCCTGTGGATGCACGATAGGGTCCGGTTAGCCCTGCCGACCATGACCTCGCATTGTCAGTCATCAGTGATGACTCCAAGATCCCTTTCTGCCTCCGTGCTCTCAAGAAGGGAGTTTCCCATCTTATAAGTGTGTTGCTGGTTACTACTGCCCAAGTGCAGCACCCTGCACTTGTCAGTATTGAAACGCATCCTGTTTTTGTTAGCCCACCCCTGCAACCTATCCAGGTCTTTCTGCAGTCTTTCCCACCCCGCTAACGTGCCTACCTCACCCCAAATTTTGGTATCATCAGCAAATTTGAACAGGTTGCTTTTCAATTTGAATGGGGGACCTTTAAATCTGCAGTCAAATGCTCTACCTCTAAGCTGTGCTCCTGCAGGAACCTGGGCCTGGGCACCTCTTCGGCCCACATCTCCACCTTGTCCCTTGCAACACCTGTCCTTGCCTGTTCTATTCATGAGACCTCCTGGGTGACACGGTCAGAGGTATTGACACTGGCCTTCCAGGGAGACTTGACCTCGGGTACAGCTTCTCCAATCAAGGACACTGGCCAGACAAAGGCTTAGAACAGGCTCCATGCAACAACCTGCTCATGCTTGCCACTTTCCCCTTTGTAACACAATGGCCAGCTGGGCCATGGCTCATTTGTACATTTCTCCCACCCCCTCTTCTCCTCCCCACCAACATGAGCAAGACTTTGACACAGCCCCTTCCTGCCAGCCTTGCCTAAAGAACACCCAGGCCTTGCAGGAAGGCAAATCCCTCCTGGTGAGAGGGACCAAGACCAAGGCTCACTCCAAGAAGCCCTTTCCTGGGCTACTGACACATGAATCATCCCCCACAAGCTCTGGCTTACTCCCCTGTTTCTGGTCCCTCCACATTCATCATTTCAGGACCAACACATCTTGTCCTAGCACCCGTATAGCACAACAGGGCCATAACCCACCATGGTGCCCAGAGAGCAAGGGCAATAGCGGAAGCTACGCAGGCTCACTTGCTTCTCCTGGCCCTGAGCAGAGGCTGCCATCGACTGAATTGTCTCCCTGGTTAAGCCCAGGATGTGTCTGCACATGAAAGGCTCCCCACTTGGACACACGCTCTCTGTGCTCTCTAGGCTGGGGAGCCAGCATCATGCCAAGCAAACAACTTCACAGACAGCTGCCAAGACCCTTGAATCAAGAAGAAGCACAGGGTAAGGGCCTTGCAAGGACCTGGCACCCAAGCCATGACTGATAAGAAGGGAGCACCAGAGACCCATTGATCTGCAGTTATGTACTCTACATCTGAGCTATGTTCTTGCAGGGACCTCAGGTTATTCACCTCCTCAGCCCCTATCTCCATTTTGTCCCTTGCAACACATGGCCTTCCCTGTTCCATTCATGAGAACTCCTGGGCTGTGTGGTCAGTGGTATCAGCACTGGCCTTCCAGGCAGACTCAATCTTGGGTTCTCCAGTCAAGGACATTGGCAATACAAAGGCTGAGAACAGGCTCCCCGCAACAACCTGCACATACCTGCCACTTTCCCCTTTGTAACACAATGGCCAACTGGGCCACGGCTCATCTGTACATTTCCCCCACCCCCACAGTTGGCTGGAACCTCCTCTTCTCCTCCCCACCAACATAAGCAAGGCTTCAGCACACCCTCTACCTGTCACTCTCGCCCAAATGGCACCCACACTTTCCTGGACAGCCAATCCCTCCTGTTGAGAGTGACCAAGACTAAGGCACACTTCGAGAAGCCCTTACCTGGGCTGTTGACACTGATTGGCCCCTGCAAGCCCTGCCTTGGCATAGTCCCTTGGTCCTGGTCCCTTCACTCTCATCTTTTCGGGACCAACTCATCTTAGAATCATAGAAAGTTAGGGTTGGAAGGGACCTCAGGAGATCATCTAGTCCAACCCCCTGCTCAGAGCAGGACCATCCCCAAACCCAGGCAAAACTTTTTCTAGCTGGATTTTTAAAACGTCCAAGGATGGAGCTTCCACCACCTCTCTGGGTAGCCTGTTCCAGTGTTTTACTACCCTCCTTGTGAGAATATTCTTCCTAATATCTAACCTAAACTTGTCTTGCTGCAACTTGAGACCGTTGCTCCTTGTTCTGTTATCTGCCACCGCTGAGAACAGTCTAGCTCCATCCTCTTTTGAACTTCCTTTCAGGTAGCTGAAGGTTGCAATCAAGTCCCCTCTCAGTTTCCTCTTCTCTAGACTAAATAAACCCAGTGCCCTCAGTCTTTCCTCATCAGTCATGTTCCCCACCCCCTTCACAATTTTTGTCACCCTCTGCTAGATTTTATCCAATTTGTTCACATCCTTTCTGTCTCGGACGGCCAGAGCCGACTCGAGGTGATTTAGAAATTACTCGGTCGCTGGGCGGGCTGGTGAATGGAGAGGCAGACAATGCATATTGGTTGCAAAGAGCTTTACTTATGCCGCTTGTAGCCGCGACGCAGGTGGTTCGGTCGCTTAAACAACTCCGAGAGTTGCTCCAGCTGGCAAGGCTCAGGCCAGCGAATCCGTCCAAAAATTAGGCCGGCAGGGAAAGGGTACATCGAGGATTGCGCTCGGCGACGGGGAGAAGAATCGATAGGTGATCAGTCTATCGATTAGCTTAGCCGCAAGTCAAATCTCTTTAGAGGCACTCTGCAGCGTGCTCAAAGTTCTCCGACTTGGGCGGAAGTCGCTCGAAATTTTAACCGGCTAGCAAGCCAATTACTAGCCGCCACGTAGGAATAATTTAGAACTGGCCAATAGCGGGACACAAATTTGCATTCAAATGGCGGGAACTCTCTTGCACCGGGGTTTTCTGTTGCAGCAGAAAAACCTTTGCTGTGCAAGAGGCTCTCATGTGGCGGGAAAATTCCATCGTGCTGAGGCACCAAAATCATTGGGTTGTGACACTTTCCATAGTGGGGGGCCCAAAACTGAACACAGTACTCCAGACATGGCCTCACGAGTGCTGAATGGAGGGAGATAATCATTTCCCTTGACCTACTGGCAACATACCTACCCATGCAGCCCAGTATGCCATTAGCCTTCTTGGCAACAAGGGCACACTGCTATCTCCGATCCAGCTTATTGTCCACTGTAACCCCCACGTCTTTTTGTGCAGTTGCTGCCCAGCCAGGCAGCCCCCAGGCTGTATTGGTGCATGGAATTGTTCCATCCTAAGTGTGAGACTTTACACTTGTCCGTGTTGAACCTCATGAGATTCCAGGCAACTCTGAATCCTAGCCCTATCCTCCAGCATATCTATTACTCCTTGCATTTGGTATTATCTGCTAACTTGTTGCGGATGCACTCTATGCCATCTTCTAGGTTGTTGCTTAAGACATCAAACAAAACCAGCCCCGGAACTGACCCCCATGGCACTCCACTTGATACCAACTGCCAACTAGACATTGAGCCACTGATTACTACTGTCTAAGCCCAATGCTCCAGCCAGTTTTCTGTCCACCTTACAGACCATTCTTCCAGCCCATACTTCCTTAGCTTGCCTGGGAAAATGTTGTGAGAGACTGTATCAAAACACATGCACCAGTCTCCCTGCAT